ACTAGCTTCTGGGACCCCTGGCGAAGGCACCAGGAGAGCCTTCCCATGGAGTTTTGAGGACACTTTCACCCTGACCTTCCCTCTGTCCTGGGGCCAGCCTGTCCCCTGAGCATCCAGGGCCATCCTGTGGTCTGCCCTACTGACTTCCTCCTCCCTTCCTCAGGCAGGTCAGCAGTTACCCCATACCACTGTCCCGGACACTGAAGACAGTAAGCGTTTTCCAGTCAGCAAGGTGAGGAGGCAGGATCAAGCAAGGCTTGGGGTGGTGGGTGAGGAGGTGATAGCAGCCAGAGTCCTGAGGACCTTTTTATTTCCAGGGGAGCTTCTTCGGATCTGGGACCCTGGAGAACATAGCTTTGAAATTCCTCAAACAGTAAGCACCTGTGGGGCCCTCAGGGAGGAGTGGGATGGGCCAGGCCATCCAGCCACAGACCTGCTCATTGAGGGGTGCTTTCAAGTCTAGTTGGGGGTGCAGATCTCACAGAGCCTGTCTTCTTTCCTTCCCGCAGGTATTACTGGATCTATGATTGTGGTGACCGACAGGGTCTCCTGGATGCTTACCATGATGATGCCTCCTTCTCCCTGACCTTTCCCTGCGACCTGGAGGATCGAGCTTTGTGAGTGCCACAGTCCCAGTGACAGGCCTGGGCCCCATGACTCCCAGAAAACATTAGCCAGTCCTTCAACTTCCACTCCTCTTTTTCTCCTAGGTCCGGCTTGGGCAAGCACTTCAAAGATAGTCAGAATATGAAGAAGCAAAAAGACCCTGGTACGTGTGAGCAGGGAGATTAATAGGAGGCGTGGAGGAGTCAACCACAGGGGTCAGTTCAGCGATGCAGCCCCTGACCTTCTCTTCTCCTCCCTGCGCAGTTCCGTGGACTCAGCTGCTGAAACGCACCAAAGGGGAGATTGTTGCCTTTCTTCGTGCGTTGCCCCCAACCCAGCATGACCTCAACTCCATCGTGGTGGACATGGGTATCCAGACGGTGAGCCCCTGCTTCCTCCCTGAGGCCGGCCCAGGGAGCAGAGGTGGGTAGGAGGTTTGTTGGGATCCTGGGAGCCTGAGCTGATTTTCTCTTTCAGGAAAATATGATCTACTTTTCTGTCAATGGGAAGTTCAAGGAGGGTGAGTGTCTGTAGAGTCTCGTACCTGCCCCCCATCTCTGAGGTCGTGCTCAGAACTCTCTAGGTTTTCCTCCTCTCTTCCTTTCCTATCCCCACTTCAGCTCCCACCCTGCCCAAGCCCACCCTTGCCTGACTTATTTCCATTCCTGCGTATCCCACCGCAGACCAGGAGTTAGAGATACAGGCTGTGGGTTTTGATGGCTCATGTTTCCATCCCACACTGTACCACTTTCAGACATCTCTCAGACTCCTCATTTGCAAAAAGGGGTTAGAGGTGTCCCATCGTTTAGACTTTGGTGGAAAACGAGGCAAATGCACTTGTGAAGAAACTATCACAGGCCTGACAAAGAGTAGGGGCCCTGTCACTGGGAAGAGATTTTCCCTTTTGTTTCTCTCCCCAACACTGACACCCTCTGAATCCCAGTGGACATCTGGCCTTCTGTGGCCCCCTTCAGTGCACCATGAAAGAATAAAACCATGACCCTGAATGAATGTGGAAACTTTGGGACTCTGATGCGCTTTGTTATATGTTGTCCTTGAAGTGGGAAGAATGTGTGAGGTTCGTGTCTGTACCTTTACCCGGACCTTCGTTTTGACGGCTGGCAGAAATTCCAGGTTAGTGCTGTGTTGTGGGTCCCAGGGGGAACACCCATCCCAGGCTATGTCCAAAGGATGGGATGGTTACATGGGATTCCTCAGGATTTCCCCAGTTTTGCAGAATTCCAAAAGGTAGATCATCCCAGGTTAAGAGTGTAGGCGGTGGCATAGTGACTCCTTCCCCTGACTCCAGCCTTCACTAGCCGTGTGACTTTGGAAAGTTACATGAGTTGTCTGTGACTCTGTGTCTGTCTCTGAATATGATGATTATGATACCCAACCCCGTGGGCGGTGTAAAGATGAAGGCAAGTATGAACCTTTCTCCGGGGTGGGGGAACCTATCCACCTAGTGAAGGTGGCAGACCGCTCTCCAAAGGCAGGTTCTATGTGAGGCAAGGAGTCCCACTCAAAGAGTCTGGAGGCAGGCAGAGTAGTGCATACCACGAAAGGGCTTGTCAAGTGTGGACAGGATTTTGGTTGTGGGTGTGGCGTTGTCCATCTGTCCTGATGTCTAAGGCCCATTCTTTCTCCAGCATACGCATCTTGAATGACCAACTGACTGTGACTGACGTGAGCCACAAAGAAACCCAGAGTGCCTTCTCCCCAGGGCCCAGTTTTGGCCCCGCCCCTTCCCAGGAGCAGCAGTAAATCCTGCAGGCACTCTCCACGCAGTCTGGTAGGAGTGTCTAGTGGTCTCACTAGGGATTGTGGGAGTGGGAGGGGATGGCAGGGGCTAGAGAATGAACAACGGAAACTCATGTATTTTGATTCTTTCTTTCACTCATTGTCACTCTGAGCATCTTTCCCACTCAGTATATATTGCCCCCCTAGTAGTTTTCCTCGGGTGCACAGGACTTTGTGAATTCCAAGGACCCTGTGCCTTTATGGAGAGATTGTGGCGGTTCCAGGAATCTTCCCCCTTACACACAGAGCTACCATGCTCATTCTGCTTCCTTTGTCACGCCGAAGGAAGCAAGTTTCTTTCACATCCGTGATCTGTCTCCACCCCAGCTCATGACCACAAGTGGATGGCACCAGAACCTCACAGGCTTTCCTTCTGTCCAGGTTGAAGTCTGGAAATTCAGGCCAGGTGGCCTGAGGATGACACTCAAGGCTTCTGGTTCTGATGTTGCTTTGCTTTCGCCTTCCCTTCCCTCTTGTCTATGATTGACGTCACAGAAGATGCCTTCATGAAGTGATGCATTGCCCTTCCAAGACAACTGTAAAGAAGCCAAGGGTTTGGTCATCTTCATCATCCTTGTCATTCCCCTGCTTTTCTCTGGCCGTTGTTCTGAGATTTGTTCCACCCACTTTCTCTGTTGATTTAAAAATAAAGAGTGTCGTTGCAAGTTATATAACATCTGTGCAGTATGCATTCGACTTTAGCATCGTCATTGTTTTACAGGGACAAAAGGAAAGACTGAGAGCTTAAGGGACCTCCTGGGAATATGAAAAGACTCAAATTCTGGATCCACCCTTAAAAGCCCAAACTGTGGCTCAGGGGTGTGTGCAGCCACTGCTCTCTAACCCGGGCAAACCTGGGGGCTGGTCTCCTATGCCTGTAGAGTATTAATCAATTGCTGTGTTCATAATAATATTTTCTTGTGCATTGAGTAAAACTAAAAGAGCCCTGGTCGTGTAGTGAGCTATGCAGTGAGACACTAAGTGAAAATTCAGTGGTTCGAGCCCACCAGTCACTTCACAAAAGAAAGGTGAGGTTGTTTGCTCTCACAAAGATTTTGTTTTAATTTATTTAATTAATCAATTTATTTGAATCATTTTCTTGGGGGCTCGTACAGAAAATGTGTCGAGCACATTTATACATTTGTTGCCATCATCATTTTCAAAACATTTTCTTTCTGCTTGAGCCCTTGGTATCACCTCCTCATTTTTCCCCTCTGTCCCACACTCTCCCTCCCTCCTGAACCCTTGATAATGCATAAAAACAAAATTTCATGTCTTACACTGACCGATGTCTCCCTTTACCCACTTTTCTGTTGTCCATCCCTCTGGGAGAGAGTTATCTCATAAAGATGTTAAAAGGTCCCTATGTGTTGGAATTGACTCAATAGCAGTGGTTTATTTTTTTTATTCTGTTTCCATTGTCCTAGCTTTTCATACCTTCCATGCTTTCTCATCCTTACTTTTCAGTAAATGTGGACAGTTTGGTCTCACACAGTTAATTTTTTTAGGAAAGGACATTACTCATGGATGATATTATTTGTTTTATAAGCACATTTATTATTTTACTGAAAAGTGACCTCCAGAAATAGCTTTAATTTCACATGCAAAGGGTATCTTAAGATGATAAGCTCAGGGGTTCCTCTTATATTTATCAAATAGTTCTGTCCTGTTTTTTGAGAAACTAGAGTTTTGTTCTACATTTTTCTCATTCCTTCCAGGATCTTCTATTCTGTATCTGGTTAGAAAAGTCAGTAGTGATAGCTGGCTCCGTTTAGTGCTGAGGTCCGGTTAGATGAGGCTGTAGTTGTTGTGAGCCATGAGTCCCCAGGGCTAGTTTCTACTTCAGACCTTTAGCTCACTTCATTCTGTTTTGCTCTCTACAAGGAGATACCAATCGCTGTATGTTAATTGGCTGCTGACAAGCTTTTAAATCCCAGAGCTACTTACCAAACTCAAATATCAAACATTATCTTTGTGAACTATGTTATGCCAACTGAGTAAATTGTCCCATGAGATGATATTCCTAAGCCTTTTAACCCAGTAAACTAATCCTGTGATTTGCTTGGAGAAATTTATTATTTTTATTCAGAGACTAGTACTATTTTCTTAGCCATAGGAAACCATTGAAATTTGAAAACATGTCTTTGCGGGCAAAGCAACATTAAGGAGAACATGAAAACCTCGGGATAAAAAATGTATTCACATATACAATTGACTTAGGAATAATATCCTTGATTTATAAAGACATCGGTAAGGAGTTCGGAAAGTGTGATCAGCCTAGATTATATTAAAAGCATTGTTATGCGCAACAAATCTCTGAAAAGCAACTCCAGCACAGGAAATAGAAAAATGCAACAACAAACTTTAAGATACTAAATGAATAAGGAGTGCTTTAGTTATCTTCATAAAACTACACTGTATGTGTGTTCATACTGATACACGGTGTACAGGATGTGCCTAACTAATAGTATCATTTATTAACAGAACAGTAGCAGGCCCTGGCTAGCGTTTCCGATGCTCAGAGGCTTGACCTTCGTGAGGGCCGGGGCGGGGGCGGGATTAGGAGATGACTCACCTGTGAGAAGAAGACATGCTTTTGATATCAAGGTGCCCCTCCCTGATGTATAAGACAATTTCAAGGGTAAGAGGACACGGAGAAGTATTTTTATGATACAGACCCTTTGGAATCAGTTCTGAAAGGAGTTCACTGTGAGCACTCTCCTGAGAACCAGAAGCAACATTCTCAGTGAATATTATTGTAAACTTTCCCTGACAACCAACTCCCATGGTTGGTGTAAATAGTGTCCACCCATGAAAGGATTGATTTGATAAGAATACTTCAGGTATTCTGATATAAAGTTCGCTTACATTTACCCAATATTCCTCTCTCAACAGTCTTTTAAAAATTAATACCAGAGGCTAATCAATGGCAATATTAACAGAAGATCTTTATCTCCAGGTAGATGATCAATAACATTATCTACCATAAACAAGGAGGTCTCTAAAGGATGCCAAAGCAGATTAAAAAAACATAGATCCAGGAAGGGGTTTTGACTCACACTAAATCCCAGCTCCAATTAAAGAATAATTAATTCTTTACATGATGGTCCTACTTGATATTCATCCTCAGGAAGGGAACACAGAGGATATGGGTGCTATAGAAAAGTGTGGTGAAGAAATTAGATGGTGCCAGCTATCAGATAAAATAGCGACTGGTGTCTTAAAGGTTTGTTTCCAAACACTCAGCCATCTAAGTAAGATGTAAACTAAGTCCACATGAAAGAAACACATCAACTTTCGTGGCCAAAGGAGTGTAAATCATATAATCCAAAGCCGACAGAGGGAATAGTATCAGGGCCTAAATTGTCAGATCCTGGTTTTCAGACAGTGCAATGCCCAAGATACATTTGGGAAATCTACACAGTAAATAAGCCTAGGATGATTTCCCTCCATGCGTAATAGAGGGATGGGAAGAAGCTGGTTACCAAACAGAGTGCATTGGCGAGATGAGTATAGGAGATCAAAATGATAAGCCTGACTTGAACAGTTAAAACCTTGTCAGTTGATCCCCCGTCTGACACAGCTGATCTTGTTTTCTATATTTGTATAGTTGTTGTTGGGGTTTTGCTCGTGTTGGGGATTATCTCTGATGTATTTTGTCATTGGGGGCAGCCCTCCTGAATTTTTGTTTATGTTTTTCTGTTTTGGGGTATGAGAAATGTAGGATTATGAACCTATAGACAGCAAGTAACATAAGGGGGGGTACAGTGAGGGAATTAAAGGGGAGCTGATGTCAAGGAGTTCAAGAAGGAAGAGAAAGGTTTGAAAAAGACTGTGGTAGCAATTGTACAATATTGCTTGATGTGATTGAACTGTGGAATGATATAATATCTGTATTAGCTCCCAATAAAGTGATTTTGAATAAAAAAGTGAAAAAGACATTTATTTCCTTCATGAGCTCATTTTTCCTATATATCTTTTAAAGAAAGACTAATCTGCATTTATTGTAAACTGTCTTATGTCTACTTTGGAAGTAATTTGAACAGGAATTTTGAAAATAATGAAGTTTCAAGAAAAAAAATCTACTTTACATATAGTTTTTAAGATAGAATTTCATAAAGATTATCTTTTTTCCCATAATTTTTTGAAACAACCTAGTATGTTTCAGAGTAATGAATGATGTATGGCATCTAGAGAAATTATATTTTTGGTGGTACAGGTGAATATCAACAATAAGGTCTGTTACTTCCTCGGGTTGAAGCATTTATTTTCAGAAAGTACATTTTTCTATTTGGGTGGACATGCTTATTTCAAAAGAGAAATAATTAGGAAAGATATCCACAATTCACTCAGTCTCACTGCTTCCCTTTCTGATGACTCTCCATTTGCCCTCCCAGTGCCAATCCTCGTTCTCAATTTCGTAGACACAGTGGACATTGGTGCCTGTGCCTGTGCAAGGTGTCTGGGATGAGGGGGTGTTACGGGAGGAGCACTTGGACAGGAGGGAGAGAAAGCAGAAAAGGCCTGTGGTTGGGGAGGGGAGGCTGAGCAGATCTTTCCTGGTAGCCAAGGAAGCAAAAACGCCATCCACAGATCGGTGATAACACCTGTGGCCCCTGGGAGTGGAGAGAACTGAGAGGAGTGACAGGAGGTATGCGCAGGGACTCTGCGCATGGGGTGGCTGTGGTGGAAGGGGGCCTGGCTGCGCCGTGGAGGTGGTCAGGTGGGGAGTCAGAAGCGTCTGACTGCACTGCCCTCCCCAGGGGGTGAGGGGGAAAGGGTGAGCTCTGCGATGACGCATGGCTCTCACGTGACCTGGAGCTGCAGAGCCATGCAGCCTTCCCTGCGGTTGTTAACTTTGCATCTGGGTACCAGCTCCTGATGCACGGCGGGCTGGCCTCAGGTCTGGGCAAAGCGCAGCAGGTGAGGCCAGCCAGCGTACAGAGCGCGGCGCAGAGCGCCCGCTGAGCTTGAGGCCGGCGCGGAGCAGGCCCTGGCTAGCATTTCCAAGGCTCAGAGGGCTTGGGGACCTTCGTGAGGGCCGGGGCGGGGGCGGGATTAGGGATGGCTCGACTTCCAGTGAGAGCAGCTGAGCCAAGAGAGCTCTGGGAAATCACGCCTCAGCCACAGCAGAAAAATGCGGAGCCCCGCGGAGGCTGGACCGCCCTGGGGAGGAGGCTTCCAGGAGGGATAAGGGAGGGGGGCGGCGCGTTGGCGGGGGAGCTCAAACCCTTGGCCTTGGCCTTGGCAGGCCGCATCCCTTGACCTCATTGGCGGTCTGCAGGTTGGACGCTGCAGTGGTGCACCCTGGCTGTTGAGGATCTGGAGGAGGAGGAGACTGCCAGGATAGGCCCAGGTTCGTGTGAGGGTCAGGCAATGGGGGTTGGGGAGATATGGGACAGGGGGCTGGGATCATAGCACTGTCCTCCATTTTGATGCCTACCTGATGCCTGGCATTAGGTTGGCAGGAAAAATGGTGGACTTTGGGGAAGGAGCGGAGAGAAGCAAGGGAGGGAGGGATGTGGACTGGGGCCTCTAGGGGGCGCACAGATGCACTCAGCTAGGAAAAAAATGAAATTTAAAAATTCTTTGGATCTCCTGGGCTTTTAATCTTGAAAAGTGCGTAGTAGCGTCTCCGTCCTCAGTGTTGATCTGACCAGGAAGCTTTT